TAAGATAATTTCTAATAGGATGAGGGAGGTTATGCCCTTTATTATTAACTCTAGCCAAGCTGGCTTCATTAAAGATAGAATGTCTACTGATAATGTGGTGCTTGCCTCTGATATTCTCAGAGATTTTACTGGTAATGGGAGGGAGAAGTTGTTTTGTGCCAAATTGGATATTCGGAAAGCGTTTGACACGATTTCCCGGACTTTTCTGCTTAACAGGCTTTTGGAAAAAGGGTTTCCTCCTCAGTTTGTGGGCTGGATAAAAGGGTGCATTGAGGATGTATATTTCTCTGTTTCTATCAATGGGGGGTTGGAGGGTTTCTTCTCTTCCTCCTTTGGTCTTAGACAGGGTTGTCCATTATCCCCTCTTCTCTTCTCTGTTGTGATGGATGCTTTCTCTTATGGCCTTACTGCTAGCAATTTTAAAGGCATTTTTTCCAACAACCTCATGATTAATCATCTGCTTTATGCCGATAATATTTTAGTTTTTGGAGAGGCCTCTATTCAGAATGCTAACTCTTTGCAAATTGTTCTCTCTTCCTTTGCTATGCACTCTGGGTTGGTTGTGAACAATGCCAAATGTCGGATTCTGTTTTCTCACAACAACCCTTTGGCCAATGTTATTACTGCCCGTCTGGGCTTTACCCAAACGGAGAATACCCTTACATATCTTGGCATTCCGATTTCTACCAAAAAACTAAAAACTTCTCACTTACAACCACTACTGAGTAGGCTTTCTACTCTACTTGCTGGTTGGAAAGTTAAATTCTTGTCTTTTGCAGGTAGAATTCAGTTCCTCAAATTTACAATTGTCAATACCATTGCATACAGGATTAGGGGAGCTGTTATACCCAAAGGGATTTGCAGGCATATTGAGAAACTTTGCTCTAAGTTTTTAATCCATGGAACCCATTCGGAGAAAAAGCTTCATCTGATTGCTTGGACTAAGACCTGCCTCCCTAAATGCTATGGGGGACTTGGTTTGCCTTCTTTAGATGCGTTGGCTTTTGCTTTTGGTTGCTCTTTCCTATGGAGATACTTCAATTCCCCTTCTTTGGTGGCTGCTTGGTTCAGAAACAAATTCTCTTCACCTTGGAAACCTTGTTTGCCTAATGCTTCTAAATTCTGGAAAGGTATTGCTGATATTGCTTTGAAAATCAAGGATAAGCTGAATTTTCATGTGATTAACGAGAACTGCACTCTTTCTATGCTGTGGGACCCGTGGTGTCATGGAAATTCGGGTTTGGGTGCTGCTCTGTCTTCTCGATTAATTGGGGTGGTTGGTGATTTTATTATTGATGGCTGTTGGTCCCTTCCGTCTCAGCTGGATCCATCCGTTTACACTAGTATTACCTCCACCCCCATTTTGGTGCACCCTCACCCTCAGGTTTCTTGGAATGGGATGAACTTGCCATCCTTTAAGGTCTTTCTCATGGAATTTTATTCTGAATTAAACATTGTACCTTGGTTTAAGTTTGTCTGGCATTCCCACTATGCTTTAAAATATGCTTCCTTTACCTGGCTGGCTATGCTGGGAGGTCTTAAAACGGCAGATGTGTTGGCTAAGAGAAACATTTTTTTACCTCCAGCTTGCCCTTTATGCAGAAATGAGGATGAATCCATTGTGCACTGCTTCTTTCAGTGTGATTTTTCATTTTTTGTGATATCCACTCTTCTTCCCTCCCTAAACAACTTCTTACTGCACCCCAATTTGCATCAGGTTTTTCAGTTTGTTGATGGGGTTGAGAATTGGAAAGTTTTTTAGAAGAACTTTTGCTATTTTGTGATTAACTTCTCTTTGTATTTTCTTTGGAGGGAACGCAATGATCGCAGATATGGGGAACATGCTTCTTCTGGGAATGACTGCTTGAGAAAGATTATATATGCTATCAAAGCTAAAACTGAAAACTGGAAAATGGTGGAGAAGCTTAAGGACTCTTTTCCTGCTTGCTTTGAGGTGCTTTAAAGTCGGGCGCTCATGGTCTACATTTTCTCGATGCCTGCTGGGAAGTTTTTTGGTGGGGATGCTTTATCCTCACAACTGGACGATGATGATTAGAACTAACGACATTTGGCTTCA